TAAGTGTTTTAATGTATGCAAATAGGTATTTATGAGATTGTTGCCTTTGTTTTAGAAAATCATGTATATTATAATTATGACTTTGAAAATCTATTTTTTTCAGATACTTTCCACTTAAAAACTGAAATTATGGTAAGAGTTTATGTCTGTCATTTTCTTCTTCTAATTATATCAAATATTCCAAAATACTTTACACTGGAGTTTGAATATTAGCTCACTTTTCAACCATCTTCCATTTCTTTGAAATAAATAAGAAAGTTGAACCATCATCTGAATTCAATTTCTTCCTTTTAATTAATAACAATGTTTTTGTTTTTTAAAGAGAGATATAGTCTTATATGATTTATGGAAAAATTTAAAGGATATTTAATTTCATGAATTTCATTCATTCGAAAGATTTTGGCACACTATTCCAATTCCGGAAGGTGGCCCTATGTTTTTGTCCAGTATGTGGTGGAAGTTCAATTACTTGACATATGCCACCATTTTGAAGACTGTAGACTCTTTCCATATTGTTCAAGAAATAAAAGTATCTTATGTAATTATTTAATTGGGTGTGAAATTAAATAAACAAGGATTAGTGTTTTATTTGCATGTGAATATTGAACCTCATATTTCTAGAAAGACCATACTTACTTTTGTTACTAAGAATGAAGGCTGTTTCCATGCAAAGTTTTTTCATGAAAAAAATGTAATATGTATTGCAACATATTCCCAGTGAGGGCTGAGGGACAGGTAGTATTCTACATTTGATTTCAATCTTTAAAATTCTAGAGAACATGACAATCTTATATACCCTAGATACCTTAGAACAAGGTCATTTATAAGTTTGCTTCTATAAGTGACTTTCTAATGGAGGAAACAAGCTAGATTATTTAGTAAAAAGTTTTAATAGGAACATTCTTTCAAACCCAATTGTGTAGACTACATATGTCATTGGGTTTCGTAGGTCTGCCTTCCTTTGTAATTTCTGTGTTTTTGAAAACAAGAATTAAAATTATGTACTTCCTAAAATCCATTCACTCTATGCATAAATAATACAGGCTATTTATTTCTGAGACAATTTATATTTATCTTAGAGAGGGTAAAGACAGTCACTCTAAGGCCATCTGTGGCAGGAGTATGTGGGTTTTTCAGAACTAACGTTATTCAGCACCGTGGACAGCTCCATTAAGGTAAGGGGTTGGTAGCAATTCTCTAGTTTCTAAACATAACTCAGAATAATGCTACTTTTTACTGCTACATTTGTTGTTTAACAGAAGCCTATGAAAACTGATGGGCTTGCACACATACTCCTTTTCGTCGATTCTTTTTCGAAAGAGTTCATTTAATAAATCCACCCTGATTTTTTTTTGTTTTTTAATTTTAAACGGAAAACCCAATCTTATTCAGGAGCTTCAGGGGAATGCACGCTTAAAAAAAAAAAAAAAAGGTCTACTTCACGACCTTCGTTTGATAATCTCTGAACATGCTTATAAGCGAAATACTTGGGTGACAAATAAGATCAGGCAACGTCTTAATCCTCAAGTCAGCTTCCCAAACAGCTGACGGCTCTCTTGCCCTTGTTCCCAAACTGGGATACGGGCAAGAGATTTCTGAAATAGACTTGAAGTCAAGGTCAAGAAAGGAAGTCTGTCTCAGGAAGGGGGCTCTGAAAACGCCCCCTGTCTGTTTCAGGAACTCCAGGCTTCCTGTCACGCTGCTGCCCAACCTGGCAGCGCCGGTACCCCTGAAATCTCAAGTCGGGGACTACCCAAGCGCAAATCACCCTTCCACAGCCTGCTAGCCGCTGCTCTGAGGAAATGCACTGATACCCAGTGCCTGCAGACAGATGAAAAACAGACGAACTCTCCCCAGGGGCGAGGGCGACTGGAACACAAGGACCTGTGAGTGTCTCCAGCCGCCCCGTCCTCTCCTCCTCAACCCCGGGGGCGCCTTTATCCCCTTTGGGAGGGACCCACTTCTTGGGGAAGCAGAGCGAGAAAGGCTGTCACCCCCAAGACGACTTTCTGGCCGCTTCCTTACACTCCCATCTCCGAAGTAAAGTTTCCCTGACACCAACTTAACATCCTCCCCCATCCGCGGGTCAGCGTGGCCTTCTTCCCCCATCTGTCCCCAAAGTTCTCAAGGCAAAAACAGGAGGGCGGCCCCCGCCGTTCCCAGCAACAAAACTCCTGAGGCAAGCCCCCCTCGGTGGGAGCTAGCTGAACGAGCGGAGCCTCGTCTCCCTGAGTGAAAGCCGCCGGCAGCGCCGCCCCCGCGCGCCCGGAGCCCCTCCCTCCGAGCACCCGCGCCCCCTCCCAGGAACCGGGAAGCGCGGTGGGAGGGCGCGCCCGGAAGGGAGGGTCGGGCGGCGCCGCGGGTCCTCACCTGAAATCGCTGTAAGGGTGGATAATCCAGAAGCCTGCAGTTTTAACCCTTTCCTGCTCCTTCTCCACCGCCTTCTGGCTTCCAAACATGCGGAGGGAGAATTTGTTGACCCCGGGCTGCAGCATGGAGGTGAACTGCCTCTGCATGAAGCCGTATTGCCGCCGGGGCCCCTCGGCGTCCTCGAGGTATTATCCTGATATGTAATAGGTTTTGAGAAATCTTACATTAGCATTGAGATATGAAAACATTAATTACACATCTAAGTGTTTTAATGTATGCAAATAGGTATTTATGAGATTGTTGCCTTTGTTTTAGAAAATCATGTATATTTTAATTATGACTTTGAAAATCTATTTTTTTCAGATACTTTCCACTTAAAAACTGAAATTATGGTAAGAGTTTATGTCTGTCATTTTCTTCTTCTAATTATATCAAATATTCCAAAATACTTTACACTGGAGTTTGAATATTAGCTCACTTTTCAACCATCTTCCATTTCTTTGAAATAAATAAGAAAGTTGAACCATCATCTGAATTCAATTTCTTCCTTTTAATTAATAACAATGTTTTTGTTTTTTAAAGAGAGATATAGTCTTATATGATTTATGGAAAAATTTAAAGGATATTTAATTTCATGAATTTCATTCATTCGAAAGATTTTGGCACACTATTCCAATTCCGGAAGGTGGCCCTATGTTTTTGTCCAGTATGTGGTGGAAGTTCAATTACTTGACATATGCCACCATTTTGAAGACTGTAGACTCTTTCCATATTGTTCAAGAAATAAAAGTATCTTATGTAATTATTTAATTGGGTGTGAAATTAAATAAACAAGGATTAGTGTTTTATTTGCATGTGAATATTGAACCTCATATTTCTAGAAAGACCATACTTACTTTTGTTACTAAGAATGAAGGCTGTTTCCATGCAAAGTTTTTTCATGAAAAAAATGTAATATGTATTGCAACATATTCCCAGTGAGGGCTGAGGGACAGGTAGTATTCTACATTTGATTTCAATCTTTAAAATTCTAGAGAACATGACAATCTTATATACCCTAGATACCTTAGAACAAGGTCATTTATAAGTTTGCTTCTATAAGTGACTTTCTAATGGAGGAAACAAGCTAGATTATTTAGTAAAAAGTTTTAATAGGAACATTCTTTCAAACCCAATTGTGTAGGCTACATATGTCATTGGGTTTCTTAGGTCTGCCTTCCTTTGTAATTTCTGTGTTTTTGAAAACAAGAATTAAAATTATGTACTTCCTAAAATCCATTCACTCTATGCATAAATAATACAGGCTATTTATTTCTGAGACAATTTATATTTATCTTAGAGAGGGTAAAGACAGTCACTCTAAGGCCATCTGTGGCAGGAGTATGTGGGTTTTTCAGAACTAACGTTATTCAGCACCGTGGACAGCTCCATTAAGGTAAGGGGTTGGTAGCAATTCTCTAGTTTCTAAACATAACTCAGAATAATGCTACTTTTTACTGCTACATTTGTTGTTTAACAGAAGCCTATGAAAACTGATGGGCTTGCACACATACTCCTTTTCGTCGATTCTTTTTCGAAAGAGTTCATTTAATAAATCCACCCTGATTTTTTTTTGTTTTTTAATTTTAAATGGAAAACCCAATCTTATTCAGGAGCTTCAGGGGAATGCACGCTTAAAAAAAAAAAAAAAAGGTCTACTTCACGACCTTCGTTTGATAATCTCTGAACATGCTTATAAGCGAAATACTTGGGTGACAAATAAGATCAGGCAACGTCTTAATCCTCAAGTCAGCTTCCCAAACAGCTGACGGCTCTCTTGCCCTTGTTCCCAAACTGGGATACGGGCAAGAGATTTCTGAAATAGACTTGAAGTCAAGGTCAAGAAAGGAAGTCTGTCTCAGGAAGGGGGCTCTGAAAACGCCCCCTGTCTGTTTCAGGAACTCCAGGCTTCCTGTCACGCTGCTGCCCAACCTGGCAGCGCCGGTACCCCTGAAATCTCAAGTCGGGGACTACCCAAGCGCAAATCACCCTTCCACAGCCTGCTAGCCGCTGCTCTGAGGAAATGCACTGATACCCAGTGCCTGCAGACAGATGAAAAACAGACGAACTCTCCCCAGGGGCGAGGGCGACTGGAACACAAGGACCTGTGAGTGTCTCCAGCCGCCCCGTCCTCTCCTCCTCAACCCCGGGGGCGCCTTTATCCCCTTTGGGAGGGACCCACTTCTTGGGGAAGCAGAGCGAGAAAGGCTGTCACCCCCAAGACGACTTTCTGGCCGCTTCCTTACACTCCCATCTCCGAAGTAAAGTTTCCCTGACACCAACTTAACATCCTCCCCCATCCGCGGGTCAGCGTGGCCTTCTTCCCCCATCTGTCCCCAAAGTTCTCAAGGCAAAAACAGGAGGGCGGCCCCCGCGGTTCCCAGCAACAAAACTCCTGAGGCAAGCCCCCCTCGGTGGGAGCTAGCTGAACGAGCGGAGCCTCGTCTCCCTGAGTGAAAGCCGCCGGCAGCGCCGCCCCCGCGCGCCCGGAGCCCCTCCCTCCGAGCACCCGCGCCCCCTCCCAGGAACCGGGAAGCGCGGTGGGAGGGCGCGCCCGGAAGGGAGGGTCGGGCGGCGCCGCGGGTCCTCACCTGAAATCGCTGTAAGGGTGGATAATCCAGAAGCCTGCAGTTTTAACCCTTTCCTGCTCCTTCTCCACCGCCTTCTGGCTTCCAAACATGCGGAGGGAGAATTTGTTGACCCCGGGCTGCAGCATGGAGGTGAACTGCCTCTGCATGAAGCCGTATTGCCGCCGGGGCCCCTCGGCGTCCTCGAGGCCCCTGGCCGCCTCCTCGCCCCCGCCGCCGTCCGCCTTGAAGCACACGGAGTTGCCGTGCTCCTTCGCGCCGGCCCCGCCGCTCCCCGGCGGGGTGCCCAAGCGCTTCTCGGCCGCGGCCGGCCCCGCGCCCGTCGCGGGCGCCTTGGCGGGGAAAACGCTGTGGCCATCGTCCCGGCTGCCGGACGAGGAGTTGGGCTTGCCGCCTCCTTCCATGCCCGCGGCACGGGGCCGACGGCCGCGCGCGCTCCAGACTCGCCGGCCGCCCGGCGCCGGGGGCACGAAGCTGAGGGGCAGGGGCTCGAGCCGGCTGCCCGCGAGCCCGGCTGCCCGTCGCGGCGGCGGCGGCGGCGGCGGCGGCTCCTGCTTCCCGCCCGCGCCGCTGCTCTCTGCGCGCCTCGCTCCCGCCGCCGCCGCTGCCCTCGGCGGCTGCGCTCCGGGCTCCGGCGCGCCTGGTGCTGAAGCTGAGGCTGCCGAGCGAGGCGAGGCTCCACTCAGCCCTCGAGCGCCAGCGCCTCCGCTCGGCTGCCCTCTGCTGGCCGGAAAGGGTCTCTCCCCGCCCGCGCGCCGCACGCTTTCCACTCCTGTTCCACTTAGGCCCAGCGTGACATTGAACTCAGGAGCCCTCGGAGACTTTTATTTGCACATGTTGTGAGCGACTATATGTTTGCACGTGAGAGGAGAGAGAAACAGAGAAAGACTGAGCTGGCAGATGTGTGTTTGTCCAAAATAAATAAACATCTTCAAACTCACTGAGACACTGTCACCCTGAACGCGTTTGAATGGTGGTACAGTTAAGCAAAGGGAAAGAGGCTGGCTCCGCATGGAGAAAATTCACGTGTAAATCGAGATGTACAAAAGATTTGACAATGGATAATAAATTTCAAGAGTAGAAGAGAAATTCTGTGTGTGTGTGTGTGTGTGTGTGTGTGTGTGTGTGTACTGGAAAACAAAGCAAGAGACTAGGTCTGGTTAATCAGCTGCTTGGGGATTTTCAGATGAAGGCTCTGCACCCAGGGACAGACAACTGACCTCCTTACATTTATCCGTATTTATTCTCTTGGAGATCCTTAAGCAGGGGATGGACTTTCCTTCTTATCAAGGCCACTGATCAGCACACATGTGAGTAGATATTCCACTACTGAGAGAAAAATGTGTTAGGAAAACCTCGCCAGAGCCGGTCTATCATTTGTGGTAGGTTATGTAATCAATAAAACACACTAAGTGGCATGCATGTCGCTCAGTGTTTACCTACACCTCACCAGGAAGCCAAGATGTTCTATGCAGAATGTAATCACCATTTCAGATGGGGGAAGGTATTCTCAAGCAACACTTGAAGCTTCCTACTGATGCTGAGGAAAGCATTCCGAGAATCCTCTTACTCCCTCAGTGTCTCCCAAACCCACTGGATTAGCTAGTGGAAGCAAGATGTGCTGCCAAACTCACCAGTCGCCCAGCAGGGCAGCGCCGGAGTCTGAAGAGCTTCGAGACTCCCAAATGGCCACAAACATCTGTTCTAGATACAGCACTGCCTTCCAGCCCACAGCCTCTTTAAAGGAAACCCTGCCCTGCCAAGAATCCCTGATGTTAAGGGTTCCTATCAGCTATGGCTGCACTTGTGGGAGGGAGAGGGGTGGGCCCCTCAGGGAGGGAATCCATGATAAGCTGCCTGCCATGGAAAAATGAGTGGGGCCAGTCAAGGGGCTTTCCTACAAAATGGAACAGTGATGAAGCCAGTTAATATTGGTAGAGGCAGAGATAAAGACAAAGGAAGCCAATTAGATGCCCTCATGGGTTAACAGAGGCTAAGACAGGAAGCACAGAACAGAGAAAAAACAGCAGCCAAAACAAGAAGCCATTAGGCCCGTGTTCTAATTCTGTAAGTTTCCTCTTACCATTCCACTTACCGTGGTCTATGCTAAATCTCTTTTTTCAGTGCGCTTCATCCTGACTCAGACACCATCTGTTTTCAACTAATCAAAAACTAGAATCCCAAATACAGGTGGCCAAATTTCAGTGGTAAACAACAGAGAAAATAGGAACAATAGAGTGATCTGATCAGAGTAGGGCCTTTGGAAATCCAAGAGCTCAGAGGAGGATACCAGGTGCCAAGCAAGGGCAGAAGGAAGCCAAAGGAATAAATAAAAACAAACATGGTCTAAAGCAAAATTCTTCCTAAGAAAGGCCCAATTACTCAGGCAGCTTTTCTTTATTAGACTAAAGATATTCCTACTTTTCTCCCATTCTGCAGCTTCTCCAATCCCACTATTTTCAGTCATGAGTATGACAATGTATATTTTAACATAAATTTTAAATGTTATAATAATTTTAAAATATACCATCTAAAATGTTATGCTGAGTTTAAGTCAGTTTATCTTTTCTTCTAGCCAATCCTTCTATTTGTTTTATTCTAACTTACTCTTAATCATGACCAGGCAGTTATTTTGGTCAGAATTTTTTTCATTCTCAACGTCTGTAATAAACTAATATAAAAGAATCACTGAAAAACAAGTTTCAAAAAAGAACAAAGAAATGCTTAAAGGTCACAAGTCATTGGATGCTCCAGGCATAACTTTTAGGCCACCTTTTTTCTTTCATTTAAATTCTCAAAAACATACATGATTTTTTAAAACTTGAGAATGTGTGTATTAATTTATTAACCTAAAGTTGTCAGCAATAGAAAAAGTCAAGTTTCTTCACTCTATTTTCATATTGTTGGAGTTAAAGTAATTTAGAATGTGTACTTACATTCAAGAAAACTCCCTTAGAAAAAAAGAACTTCCAAAAAGATCAGGACAATGAGAGACAGACAGACAGAATTGGAAATGTGACCCAATCATGAAACTAGGCTTCGGTGGCTGGAACAGACAAATTTTGGCATTGTTTAATTGTTCTGATCTATTTCTGAATTTATTGCATAACTTGAAAAGTTTTTTGACAAAGGAAGAAATTAGGGACTGATTATTTGCTCAGAGCAGAACTGTAGAGATTAGAATCACAGGTAAGAGCAATCTAGGCTCTGCTCTTCCTTATCTTCCCACTTCCGAGCCCCAGACCTAAACATTACTTTCCTACTATCACTTTCTTTTGCCCATCAGTCTATCCTCCCCTAACCCACTCCAGATGCATGCATACTATATCCCAGGACAGGTCTGGATTTTGAGTATAACCTCTTCTTAGCATGTTTCCATGTCTGTTCATTGAAGTTTTACCTCAGGCTGAAATCCACCAGGTTAAATTAGAGTGTGGTTTTCAGTCATCTTAGAAATATGATTGCTATTATGTTGATTCTGTGTCATTAGATGTCCATGATATCAAAGTGCATTGTATTTCAGAGGATTCAGATTTCTGAGAATTATTAATTAATTTCATGAAAATGTCCCATCAGTAGTTGTAATGGGTGCTGTTCAGTACATACAACAATCATGCACCTTTGAAAATGTGCTGTCTCCTTTAATGCTCTGCTTAATATCAAATTTGAGACAGCAGCAGACTAATATGAAACTAAAAACCACTGTGCAGCAATGTAAGCACATGTGAAATGAAACAAAAAAGATGGGTGACTTGAAATGTGACAGTTTATTGGAAAATTCTAAGGGAAACAAAGTTTTAAAGGATAAAACATTTTAGTCCTCCTAGTAGGATAGAAGAATATATTAAACATGTGTTTTATATGTAAGGAAATAAAATCAAATGTATCTCTGTTAAAGAGGGCAATGGTAAGGAATAGTGAAAAGGACAGTTCACCGAAGGCAACCTTAGAGCCCCTCTGTGTCTTATGCACAGGCAAACTCGACTGTCTGGAAAGCAAACACAAGTATTATGTTTAAAGTGAAACAATAGAACTATTAAAGTCAGAACAAAACACTCATACCCAGCATGTCTACAATATGTCATATTTTTAGTCAATAATATTGCCTCTGTGAGAACCCAGAAGAATCAACTGCATGCCCATCATAATATTTAATAATAGAATTTAGAAAATTGATGCAAAGTAAACATGGAAAAATTAGACTGAAAGTGAAAGGATAGAAAAAGATAATCCATCCAATAGTAGCCAAAAGAGAACAGGGATGGCTATACTAATGCCAGACAAAACAGATTTTACATTAAAAAGTTATGAGACAAAGGACATTATATATTAATAAGAGGTTCAGTACAGGAAGATGATGTAACAATTATAAACATTTACACACCTAATAACAGACTGTCAATATACCTATGAAGCAAAAGCTAGCAGAACTGAAGGAAGAAATAGACAGTTCTATAATAATAGTTGGAGACTTTAATACCCTACACTCAATAATGGTTAGAGCAATGTGACAGAAGATAAATAAAGAAATAGAGGACTTAAACATCTCAATAAGCCAACTAGATTTAACAGACAACAAAGTACACCATAGTAATCAACTATATAACATTCTTCTCAAGTGCACAGGGACATTTTCCATCATAAACCTTATGTTAAGCCACAATTAACTCTCAATAGATTTTGAAAGGTAGCTGGCATACAAAGTATCTTCTCTGACCACAGTGGAAAAGAATAAGAAATGAATAACAGTTATAAAACTGGAAAATTAACAAATTTTTGGAAATTAAGCACCACACTCATAAACAATCAATGGATCAAGAAGAAATCACAAGGGAAGTTAGAAAATACTTAAGATGAATGAAAACAAAAACAGAACATACCAAAACTGATGGGACTCAATGAAAGCAATGCTAAGGGGCATAGTAAGAGCTATCAATGCTTACATTAAAAAAAAATCTCAATTTAGCAACCTAAATTTAAAAGATAAGAAACTAGAAAAAGAACTAAACCCAAAGCCATCAGAAGGAAGGAAATAATAAAGATTAGAGCATAGATAAAGGAAATAGAGAACAGAAAAATAGTAGATTAATAAAATCATAAGTTAGTTCTTTGAAATGATTAACAAAATTGAAAAACCTTTTGCTAGATGGACCAAGAAAAAAAGAGAAGATTAAAATGGGGATATTACTATGGATTCTATAGACATCAAAAGGATTGTAAGAGAGTACTACAGCAAGTTGGGTAACCTAAATGAAATGGAAAAATTCCTAGAAACATGAAACCTAACAAAGCTAAATCATGAATAAACAGAAAATATGAATAGATATAGAACTAGTAAGGGGATTAAATCAGTTATCAAAAATCTCCCAAAAAAGGAAATCCCTGGACCTGATAGCTTTACTGGTGAATTTTACTAATATTTAAAGAACAACAAATATCAACATTTCTTAAACTTTTTGAAAGAAAATGAAGAGAACAGAACACTCCTTAACTCATTCTATGAGACTAT